ACTACATGGAGGTCTCTGAGGCCCGCGGCGTGGCGGGCGCTCGCGGAACCGGGCCCTGCGGTCAATGCTTGCATTTCCTCTGCAACGCAAACGTTTAGGATGGGGTTGGGGAGGTGGATATCATCGGCTCCATTTTACAGTAGAAGAAGCTGAGTAAATTAACTCTCCTAGGGCAAAGCCAGGATTCGATTGCCCATAACCACCAAAGCACCCCTCCCCCTCTCATTTGTACCAGTCTAAGGCTGAAGAGGCCTGGGGACGTAATTTCACTTCAATCTGTTTCCACCCATCCATCCATTCATTCAACAGATACTTGCCAGCCGCTGTACCAAGTTCCAGCCAGTCCAGTAGTTAGGAGGGCCACCTGCTCCCTGTGGAATCTGGAGTTTACGAGTAAAGCCCTTGCCAGTAGTCCTGGATTTATAAGAAACCCTACTCACCTAGTGGAGTATGACACACTACCAGAGTAATCCTGGTGCCTTGACACAGTGACTGAGGTGTGCTGAGGACTTACAGCAATGCCGCAAGGTAGGTGCCATGACTATGCCCATTTAACAGATGAGAAAACTGAGGCACAGAGAAGTTAAGTAACAGCTAGTAAGCAGGGTAACTAGAGGTAGAGCCAGGAGTCTGCACCTCAACATCCTAGCTAGGGTGAGGAAGGGAGGTGCCAAGATGGACTTAAGGTATACATTACATATTGGCCATTGGCTCTAGGCGTCCTTTCCCACTTCTCTTCTACACCCCCCCCTCAACTGCAGGGTATCCATGACCAAACACTGTATATGTTTTCCTTGATTTAAGTTCCCTAGAGTGAAGCACTGACAGAAGGTTTGGAAGGCAGATAGGAGGCAGAGCCATCTTTCTGTGGCCCTTTGAGGTCACAAAGCTCCAACTATGGTGGCTGTTTGCAGGAATCTACCAGCTTCGTGGGTGTGAGGTGGTTTTTTTCAGCATCAGTGGCAGTAGCAATGAGAAGTTTTCTGACTTTTTGAAAGCCCTGAATTGCCCAAGACAGCTTAAAGAAAATGACAAGGTCAAGCATGGTCAGGACTCAAGCTTTTACGGCTGCCCCAGATGAACCTCTGACTTCATGTAGCCTCGGGGTTGACATGGCAAAAATCAGATACAAAGTCCAGTGCTGCAGGTAGCAAAATTACTATACAACTTTAATTTGCATGCTCACCAGGTCTCATCTATGAACACTGAGGCCATGGACTGGGAAAGAATGAGGCTCTGGGAATTTGGGTGGGTTTGAATGAATCCACTGCCCTCCCAAATTCTGCTGAGTTTCCACAGTCCTTCTACTGTTGTTAGATAAGGCTGCTATAGCCAAGCTTGAAGGGCCTGGAGTAGTCACCTTGCAAAGAGGTGCTGATTTTCCAAATGCCCCATGCCTACTTCATCTCTTCACTCTCAGAACTAGAGTCGGATGCTAAAATACCCTGAGAGGATACAGATAAGATCTGATCCAGAGGATACAGTTCACACAATAAATGAGTTGTAAGATTTTTTTCATTTTTATCAGCAGGAATGCAAGAAAAGTGCATAAATATGACTCTAAAGGTGACATGAAATAAGGAACACAGTTTAGATTATGCACTCAGTGTGCTGGCTCCAGCAGCTAGGAATGGTTCTAAGAATTTGTTTAGCTGGTTTACCATAACCTGGACTCAGTGGTGGTCCACATTAAATGAAATTGTGATGCCAAGTAAAACAGATGAAGAAATCAAAAATACTTAAGGAAAAAAAAATACTTAAGGCGTCTAGAATATTGGAGTAGATTAGTCATATGCAGCCTTTCCTCCACTTTGTAGCCATGCTGTCTAGAAGATTCAAAGGACCATCCTTCACCAGGCATTCAGAAATATATTGGAGCGGGATGTACTAGCATCCTTGAAAAGATCCATAAGAGCTGCCCACTCTGGGTGGGGAATGTTGATGGGAGATGTTGCCATTGAAAAAGTACATGATTTCCATGGGGATTATGGTTCCCAGAGAAGCAAATGCTATGTGGCAACACTTAACTACCCTCCTCCCCCCCAAAAAGGGCAGCAGGGTCAGAGCACTAGTTGAACAGGTTTGATCACCAGAGATTTTTAGGTTAACTGTTCCTGGCATTTGTAGTACAGCCCATAGGTGTGTTACATGAGCAGATATCTAAGACCCCTGTGGCGCTCACACCAGCTCTGTCAACCCACCTCTCTGATCTCATGGGGAGTTCCTTGTGACCAGGTGACTGAGAAAGAAAAATTCAGGTGAAGCACAATACACTGGCATTAACTGAAAGTGGATTGATGAATTCTAACAATCCCTCAAGGAGGTGGCCCTAAAGGATAGTGGGAGAAAGGAACTCCTCCCAGTGGTCGGAACTTTGAGTGGTACATTTAGTTGTCACTTGGAAGGAGGGGAAGCTAGTGGCTTGGACAGTACCAGTAGCTAGCAATTTACGTGGCTATTCAGAGGTTTTGGAAGGAACAAGATCTGAGGGATGATGATAAGGAGGTTTGGGGAAAGGAATGTGAGTTATCACTTGGAATGGACACAGAGTATGAGCATATTGAATTCCCTTGTGAAGATTCATCAAAGCTACCCACTCCTGTGGAGACTTTTGAGAGCAAATATACAAGAAAGCTTCTTTAGAGGCCAGCTAGTCTTTTCCCCAGCAACTCGGTGCTCGTTCAAAACAAACGAGGAGCTGTGGCAGTAGGAATGGATGACGTGTATGAGTTCATCAACACACAGTTCTCATCAGGGTTGAGCTGGCTGCTGAGCACCCAGTATTCCAACAGCAGAGATCCAACACTGAGCCCGCAGTGCAGAATGCCTACTCCGAGGGTGACCAGCCCACCACTTGGTGGCTGATTGGTTATGTGGAGCCCTTCCACCATGGAATGGGCAGGGATTTGCGCTCTGGGGCATACACATTTATTCCAGATGTGGACTTGCTTTTTCTTCCTCTAGTGCTTCTGCCAGCACCATCATTGTTGGCCTTTCCAAGCATCTTGTTCACCATAATGCTGTCCCTTGCTAAGGAACCCAATTTACAGAAAAAGAAGTGAGGCAGTACACTGGCTACCATGATATTCAATAGTTTTATCATGAACCTTATCACCCCAAAACAGCTGACCTTATAGAATAGTGGGATGGGGTACTGAAGACTCAGTTACAGCCCCAGGTGGGAGATAACACTTAGCAAGCTGGGTGTACTGTGCTTCAGGTGCCATACAGGTAATAACCAGGTTGCTGTTTCTTCCATGGCCAGAATACAAGAGCTCAGGAAACCGTAGGCATAAAAGGGTTGTCTTCCACAATTAAACCTAATCATGCACTTGCAAAATAAGTTAAGTAATACATTACTTGGGTCCATTCTAATCCCTTCAAGGCTTGCTTTTAATTTTTGTTAGGAGATGTAGGGTAATTTACACTAGGGATAATTTAGCCCCACTGCTAAGATATGGCCATACTGGGGAATCCACCCAATGCCCTGGGTATTAAGGTCTCTCCAGCTTGGCTGGTGGGAACACAAACTATTCCAATCTCTGAATGAGGTCCAGGAAGATTGTTTGGTTTACTGCTTTTCAGTGGTCCTTTCCCTGTCTTGATGGAGATTTACGCTGTCTTTGCGGAGTTTTATTCCATGCATTCACATATCTGCATTCAGTTAAATAGTTGAGGGATTCCCTCTGCAGATCTTTGAGGTTCTCTCCCTGTGCACCTTCATTTTCTTTCTTTTTTTAACATTTTTTTATTGATTTATAGTCATTTTACAATGTTGTGTCAAATTCCAGTGTAGAGCACAATCCCTCAGCCATACATGAACATACATACACCCATTGCCACATTCCCTTCTCTGTGAGCTACCACAAGATCCCATGCACACCTCCCTGTGCTCCACAGTACAATCCTGTCCATCTACTCTACAATTCTGAAATCCCATCTGCTCCTCCCACCTCCCCCTCCTTGGCAACCACAAGTTTGTATTCTATGTCTATGAGTCTATTTCTGTTTTGTATTTATGCTTTGTTTTTTGTTTTGTTTTTTAGATTCCACATATGAGCGATCTCATATGGTATTTTTCTTTCTCTTTCTGGCTTACTTCACTTAGAATGACATTCTCCAGGAGCATCCATGTTGCTGCAAATGGTGTTATGCTGTTGTTTTTTATGGCTGAATAGTATTCCATTGTATAAATATGCCACATCTTCTTTATCCAGTCATCTGTTGATGGACATTTAGGCTGTTACCGTGTCTTGGCTATTGTAAATAGTGCTGCTATGAACATTGGGGTGCAGGTGTCATCCTGAAGTAGGGTTCCTTCTGGATATAAGCCCAGGAGCAGGTTTCCTGGGTCATATGGTAAGTCTATTCCTAGTCTTTTGAGGAATCTCCATGCTGTTTTCCACAGTGGCTGCACCAAACTGCATTCCCACCAGCAGTGTAGGAGGGCTCCCCTTTCTCCACACCCTCTCCAGCATTTGTCATTTGTGGATTTTTGAATGATGACCATTCTGACTGGTGTGAGGTGATACCTCATTGTAGTTTTGATTTGCATTTCTCTGATAATTAGTGATATTGAGCATTTTTTCATGTGCTTATTGATCATTTGTATGTCTTCCTTGGAGAATTGCTTGTTCAGGTCTTTTGCCCATTTTTGGATTGGGTTGTTTGGTTGTTTCTTATTAAGTTGTATGAGCTGCTTATATATTCTGGAGATCAAGCCTTTGTCGGTTTCATTTGCAAAGATTTTCTCCCATTCCGTAGGTTGTCTTTTTGTTTTACTATGGTTTCCTTTGCTGTGTAGAAGTTTGTACGTTTCATTAGGTCCCATTTGTTTATTCTTGCTTTTATTTCTTCTATGTGCACCTTCATTTTCTTGAGTACTCTGCTCTGAAAATCCTAGCATCCTCAGCCTGCTGACCTCCAGTCTCCAGTTCCAACTCAGTAAGCCTTTTGTACTCTGAGTTCCCTTTCCCTGCCTACAGCTTGGAACTTGCTTATATGTAGCAAGCTGGAGCAGTTCTAGGGCTCACTTCAGTTGTTTACATCCTCTAGGGAATCCCAGTGTTGCGTTGCCTGTTGTCCAGTGTCTGAAAACAGCATTTCATGTATTATTTTGGTTTTCTGGTGGTATGGTGAGAGGACGATTCCCATAATAGTTAATCCTTCATGGCCAGATATGGAAGTCTCTCACTTTTTTTTAATCTATATTTTCCTAATTACCACATTTTCCTCATTACATGTTTATTTGCCATTTGGGTTTCCTATTCGGTAAATTGCCAGTCTGTATCCCTTACACTTATTTTCTGTTGGGTTGTATTTTCTTTCACCTAGTGATTTTAATTGTTCTTTCTATATTCTAGATGTTAGTCTTTTATTTAGTTAGTATTTTTTCTAAGTCTCTGACATGCCATTTCACTTTGGTTTTACTTTCTTAATGATGGTGTTTTACATTTTAAATTTTAACATAGCCAAAAATATAAATTTTTTTGTGCTTTTTTATTTCTTGTTTAATAAACCCTACTCTGGTCATGAAAATATTATCTTGTATCTGCTTCTAAAAATTTAAAGTTTTAAAAATCATTTTTGACATTTTTTTAATTTATAAGAAATTAATTTTTTGAGTGATATAAAGTAAGAATCTGATTTTATTTCTTCTATCTCATAATCTTCTTAGCACCAGATTTTGAAGGATTTGACTTCTTCCTACAACATGCAATGCCACCTCAGTCATGTTTGAGCTTTCTTTACATTCATAGGTTATTTTGGCAGCTATATTTTGTCCTTTTTCGTTGGTTTGGTTTAGTTGTTTATTCCTGCAACCGATAATATGGTTTTGGGCATTAAAACCTAAGCCTCTGTTACTGCAGATTTCTCATTGGCATCTCAGTGTCATCTCTGATTCTTACTTCGTCCAGTTCTCTGTTCCCTCTTTGGTACTGGTCCCTAATGAGTCTGCTTACTTTATTGGGAGCTGAGCAATGCCACTAAAGTAATTTTTATATAGTCTTTCTATACGGTGTTTTGAGGGAAAGGTTTTCAATTCATCTAATCTACCATACTACCAGAAACAGTAGCCCTGTAATTAATTGTTCTCAAAGCAATTTTATCTTTTTCTATAAATTATTCTATTCTTAACTGTACAGAACTTACCTTTAGAGTAGAACTAACTATAGTGTACATATTAAGGAGACTGTTAATAGGTTTTTCCCCCAGAACATTCCCTACCTTCTTTTGTAAGTTCCACATAGTTACTTGGGGGTCTCTGGTGGGGGGAAGCCTTTATGCCGGAATAACACAACCTCTAATCTTTAGCTTTGAAGTAAGGCTTGTGTTAAGTAGAAATATAAAGTCCCTTGAGAGTGGGCCTGCTGCAATGACACACACAGAGTAGACGAGCAACGGATTTTTCTTGAATCAAGTTGGAATAAGATTTATTCATTTTACTTCAGTGAAGAATTGGAATTAAATTTCCCCGAGAGTAAGTTTGAATTAGGCACCACAAGTGCTCTGATCCACAGTGAAAAAGAGAATAATAATTATGAGAGGACAAAGCATTGTGATCAGTTGGAGGCCGGTCTCATCTATGCTTAAACACAGATGTAGGTATGTCTCTGATAGTGTCGACTTACGCTCTTGTGTGAACTCAGAGCATGAAAGAAGTTAAAACCCCAGGATACTGCATTAGCAATAGTATCCTTTTTGGGCAGCAAAACTACCCTTTTCTCCAAAATGGAACAAAACTTAAGTTTGTCCTCAGAAATTTCAGATGTTCTCATTATTACTAAGTTTGTCTCATTTATATCTAAACTTTATTTAATGATCATTATATGATTAAATTGTCATTTGATTATTTAAATTTGATTATTGTTAAGGAAAATAAGGCTGAATTGACTAGAATCAAGCCTGGCAATATGAATTGTACTTCAACTTTGTTCCCAGGGCAGTGTCTGCTAAGCACTCTTTGAATTTTTCAGCCATTTCCTGGTTCTGAGATTCACTGAACAAGTTTTTCCAGTCACCAATTTCACCTGCAACACAGAAAAAAACAGTAGACCCAGACTCCTGTTAGAATATTTCTTCTTGATTTTACTATTTTTTAGTGCAGAGTTTCACTCTGAAATGTGAAAACGGACATGTGAAAAAAATTAGACAGCCTTAAAAACTAATGTAATTTCTCTTGTAAAATT